TTTTTTGAAAAATTTCAAGATTTTTCAACTTTTTTGCAGGTCCGGGGTCATGAATTTTTTCAAAAATCACAAAGTCCTTATTTTCCTAAAATCAGCATAAATTTCACCGTAAAGGCCCGAAATGGCGCTCAGAACGTATTTTGCGGCTTTTTAGGTTGTTTCGAGTTAAAAAATTTTTGAAATTCCAGATTTTTCAACTTTTTTGCAGGTCCGGGGTCATTACTTTTTTCAAAAATCACAAAGTCCTTAATTTCCTAAAATCAGCATAAATTTCACCGAAAAGACCCGAAATGGCCTTCAGAACGTATCTTGTGTCTTTTTATGTTGTTTCGAGTAAAAAAAATTTTTTTAAATATTTCAAGATTCTTCAACTTTTTTGCAGGTCCAGGGTCATGACTTTTTTCAAAAATCACAAAGTCCTTATTTTCAAAAAATCAGCATAAATTTCATCGAAACGACCCAAAATGGCGTTCAGAACGTATCTTGAGGCTTTTTATGTTGTTTCGAGTAAAAAAAATTTTTTTAAAATATTTCAAAATTTTTCATCCTTTTGGCAGGTCTGGGGTCATGAATCTTTTCAAAAATCACCTACTCCTTATTTTCAAAAAATCAGCATAAATTTCACCGAAACGACCCGAAATGGCGTTCTGAACGTATCTTGAGGCTTTTTATGTTGTTTAGAGTAAAAACAATTTTTTGAAAAATTTCAAGATTTTTCAACTTTTTTGCAGGTCCGGGGTCATGAATTTTTTCAAAAATCACAAAGTCCTTATTTTCCTAAAATCAGCATAAATTTCACCGTAAAGGCCCGAAATGGCGCTCAGAACGTATTTTGCGGCTTTTTAGGTTGTTTCGAGTTAAAAAATTTTTGAAAAATTTCAAGATTTTTCAACTTTTTTGCAGGTCCGGGGTCATTACTTTTTTCAAAAATCACAAAGTCCTTAATTTCCTAAAATCAGCATAAATTTCACCGAAAAGACCCGAAATGGCCTTCAGAACGTATCTTGTGTCTTTTTATGTTGTTTCGAGTAAAAAAATTTTTTTTAAATATTTCAAGATTCTTCAACTTTTTTGCAGGTCCAGGGTCATGACTTTTTTCAAAAATCACAAAGTCCTTATTTTCAAAAAATCAGCATAAATTTCATCGAAACGACCCAAAATGGCGTTCAGAACGTATCTTGAGGCTTTTGAGGTTGTTTCGAGTAAAAAAAATTTTTTGAAAAATTTCAAGTTTTTCAACTTTTTTGCAGGTCCGGGGTCATGACTTTTTTCAAAAATCACAAAATCCTTATTTTTAAAAAAAATCAGCATATATTTCACCGAAAAGGCCCGAAATGGCGTTCAGAACGTATCTTGAGGCTTTTTATGTTGTTTCGAGTAAAAAAAATTTTTGAAAAATTTCAAGATTTTTCAACTTTTTTGCAGGTCCGGGGTCATGATTTTTTTCAAAAATTACAAAGTCCTTTTTTTAAAAAAAATCAGCATATATTTCACCGAAACGACCCGAAATGGCGTTCAGAACGTATCTTGAGGCTTTTTAGGTTGTTTCGAGTAAAAAAAAATTTTTAAAAAATCTCAAATACCATTTGCATCAAACTTGCCAGCAAAAGTACTGTTATTGTGGATCTATAGCACTAATCATATCCTTTTCACGTTGATTGATTCTGCCTAATTGATTACAATATCTTGATTTGTTTATTTTTTAACTCAATGACCTCATCGTTTAAACACTAGACACATAAACCCGACATATAAAACACAACTCATTTAAGTTCATTTTTACCTTATTAGATCTTAGGTGATAAACTTGTTAAACCGTTGATATGTAATGTACTATATTATTCTATTTTTTGTGGACACAGTATTTATTATCCTGTTGAACAGTGCAGAAGCGAGCTCCTAACCTTTGTGGCAGCTATTGAACAAGCATTAGAATTTATGAAAGTTTGTGACGTCACCCTAATGTATTTAAGTGATTGTTCAGTCAGCAGTGGTTGTGCAACATGTCCTCGTTTCATATTTCTGGAAACAAGGGTACCGTTTCCGGAATGCACGGGGGGTGCTGTGTCTCGATGTGCAGGTACCGCGATATTGCGACTTCACGCAAACTCTGAACACAGTAGTCTCCTTGGTGTTTCCAAACGAAACGATGCCTTTTTGTAATTCCAAGCACGAGGAGTTAATGGCTCGTATACCTATTGTAATTTCCACCGCTTCCCTTGGTGACCGATCATCAAGATTTAAGGCTCCTAGACCAAGACCTATTGATATTGTATAGAAAAACCTGCCCAGGCGAGTATGCTCAAAGTTCAATGAGACAGTGTCTTTAAACAAATTAAATATTAATAAAGTAAGATCAGATTATTTACATTATTTAATTAGAATATAGAACGTCCATGTTAATATTTATGGATTGTCATAAGTCAACTGTATCATCTAGCTATGGATATTTTAGTGAAGCATTTTCAGTGGACCTAGCTTTTAAATTTTAGATTGCTAAATGGCCAAGGATGCGTTACGTGGCATGCATTAATGGGTTGACCCAAGGTTTATCTCATGACGCTGGGAATAATTTATGTTACGGTTCAAGCATAACTTCCAATTAGGCCAAGAATATAATTGTATATAATTGTAGTATATATGTGAAACAACAAATCGAAGTATTCACGATGGCACGACCTCGTGATATGTTATACGTACAAGGACGTTTTAGCAAATAACAAATTATTTCTTCCTTGTTGGGCAGTAATTATCGCTTAGATATTTGCGTTATAGATGGGGACTAGCATTTAAGTCTTTTTCCAAAATGGGTTTATCCAAAAATTGAGGGCATGCTAGAAAGCAGTTTTAAGCGGAACGGGCTATGAAGCATGAACTTAACGATGTTTTTGTTTTGGGGGAGGGGCACCATATTTTGCCATGATATATTACTCCTCGACTTGGCTTCTGTTTTTGCTTTTCAAAAGAGCTGCTTGCTCATATTTGAACTGAACGTTATCTTTTAATGAAGAGAATTCGATATCTCTTGCTGCTGCGTTGCGGGCAATGCGTAGCATTCTGATAACTTTTCATATGTTACTCAACTACAGTCTTTTGTCAGCCAAGAGAACAAAATTAAATAATCAAGCAAGATAGGGTCTTTTTCGTTCTTATTTGTGTTCTTTCAGAAAGCAAATAGCTATCCAAGGAAACGCAAGACAACAAGTCATACGTGGGGTGAAAAGTAGTAGACATTAGACATAAACAAACTTTGTTATTGGTTGTTCCCATATTGGTATATTTAAAAGTGCACTCCCGCCCCTTCACCTGACAGGATTGTTTGTCCTAAAGTGAAATTAAACATGCACACCTGAACTATTCATATTACGAATGCTTATCTTATGGTAGTGACCCAAGGAGGATACCCCCAAGTCTCAACAAAACAAGGTACACGACAAAAAATGACTCTTCTCTACATAAAGGGTAGGGAACCTCCAATGCCCTTAACACCCTTCTGCTCCTAGTATCAGCAACTCTCAACAGGAAGGTGTCTGTTCTGATATAACCTTTCCGATGATAATTGCAAAGGCAAACATCGTTGTTTTGTGGGTGGGTGGAGAAGCCATATATGGTATTTAACTTAGTTTTATTTTCCTAGTATTTATAAAGAAAATTTTGTTTTGTTTATTTAGAAACAAGAGGTTGTTTAGCTCAAATGTTATGGTGATAGAATTGAAAATATTGCTCTTGTTAGCATCTGCTGTCATATGTCAGTCTGTTTTTTAAGTCTTAACCTTCTAGTCTTAAGTCTTAAAGGCACTTTGTCGCGTAACAGGGTGACGAGTATTCTTTGAGATTGTGATAAGTGTAGGCAAGGTTTCCATAAAAACATTTGCTATACAGTAATCTCTATAACTCTGACCTCCAAAGAAACAATAAAAATGGTTCGAGTTAATGAATGTTCAAGTTTTCAGGGGTTCGTGTTATCGGGATTTACTGTATTTGTATACATTTTGTTTGAATGATGCACACTGTGGACAAAAAAGATTTTCTAATTCATTATTTCATATATATATATAATTAATTTTTAACAAATGATGTGAGTAAAATGTTTTTTTAAATTTTGGTGATAAAATTCTACGGTTGTATGTACATAGCCTTAACAACAACTGCGCGCGATAGGCACTGAATCAGAATTTACTTATCTTTCTCCTTGCCGGTCGGTTCATTATGACACTCAAACAAAAACAATTACTAATGACCTCATAATATGTCGAAAATGTCAAAATTACAGAGACATCTAACGTTTTCAGAGACTTTTTTCAAGAACGCCTTTTACGCGGTACCTCGCCACTAGTGTAAATTTCTGCGACATCAAACCTGTATGTTGCCTTTAGCATACATCGGTAAACAAAACTTCTTCAATTATTTGCAAGAATCTGAACTGAAGTATTGTTTCCACTTTTCTATAAACTTTGACTTGATGCTTTTAATTCTAGATTCCTGCACTCTACTCATTGCAGTTGCCGCAGGTTATGGCTGGGGCTTTTCTGATTGTATGCTAGTGACCTTTGAAAGTACTTTGAATATTTGTAAAAGTCTGTTATAGGTGCAGGAATAATTCTTTTGCTAGATAGCTGCATATCCTAAGCAATAGTTGGCTGGCTTTGAATAACACTTGTTATGCAAAGGATTCTTTAGAATTTTTTAAATTTTTTTGGAAATTAACGTCCACAAGCCTGAATGCAAAATAAAACATTATTCCATATTTGCTTTAGTTTGTCATGTAGTGCCTGTGTAATACTGTCAAGGGAAATCTTCAAGGAATTCTATTGGAAGTCTTGCTTGATTCTTTGGACAATGTCAGATTTGTCTTTGTTATGCTTGATGTTTTTCAAGTGGGACGCTTGAATTGATTACTCCGTGTGCTTTTACTAGCTAGAGGTGGTCAAACTTCTGTAACTTCGCTGCATGTCTTATCTGTCAAGTTGGTAATATTTTTTCTGTATTTTGTATTTCAGCAGATTGTTTGGTGGTGTCTGATAGTATTCTAGACTTCATTGGTGAATTGCGGCTACAAAACGAAAGTGAATGGAACTCAGTTACAGAGGCCGTGAAAAAAATTTTCTTGGATAAGGTTCCCTGGAGAGCATCTAGAGGTCTGAGCACGAGTAATGCTGGTACGTCACTTCCGAATTTATTTTCTTTGCAAATCGGCCCACATGTGATAGTTCGACTTTTTTGTCAAATCCACAGTGGTGTTTAATAAAAATACAGCATTTGGTGTTGTGATGCTTATTAAAGCTCAGATAGCTTCACGATCGTGACAATTTTATTCCCGGTAGATTATGACCATATCAACGGTTATGCCAAATTAGTTATGCCGTAATTTCAGGCCTTGAACGTTTGCAGTTGTATAAACATTAGCGTTTTCCTTGAAATTTGCGTTGTGTTCTGCTAGTTTCTTAGCCTTTCTCCGTTTTACACTGTTCACAGCAATTTTCCAGTCAAGCGTCAGTCGATTTGAGCTAGGATCTGTTGCCTGGACGTCTACAGGGTTTCCTGCAGGTATCACGCCTTGGACAGCAGCATGGCAAGATCGATCAAAACCTTACCTGACCATTCGTCTCAAAGGTACTGTTGCAACATGTTAACCTCTTTTCCCCTCCAAGAGTATCGACTCGCTTTAGAAAACGTTCACGAGTTTCGGTCCTTGTAGGGAGCCTCCATCTGTCAAATCAAATCAAACAATTCATTGGCTGAAATAATCGAATTAGTTCCAGAAGTTCTTCCTAATTCTATTTGAAAGTGAAGAAATCCCCCAGATTTTTTCTTGTCCATCGCCAGCTTTTACTGACGTCAACCACAAATTGATATGGTACTGATTTTATTAGAAGAAAAATCCCAGTGTTAGAGTGACTACGTAATTACATCAAATGAGTATATAATTGGAATACCACAAAAATTTTAACTTACGTTTCCTTACATTTTCAAATTCATTACCTTTTTTGATACGGTGTCACCAACATTCAGAAAGGACAGTTAAAAGAAATATGCTAAAACCTCCGGCTAGTTAGATCCGTATCATTGGAAATGTTAATGCATGATTAGGAAAATGTTAAAAAAAATTTCAAAGTTGCTTTTCAGGACAACTCTGATTTTTTAGTTTCCGTCTCCTATTTTAAAAATTCAACTACATACAATTTATCAGTTACATTAATACAACACTACAGACAATATAAATTAAACACAAATCTAAAAAACACAGAGAAATAGTAGCTTACATACCAAATTGTATGAAGGGGAATTCCTTAAGGAGGGACTCTCTCAGTAGCTGGGTTAATCGAGGAGAGAGCACCCCCTGTTTTAAGAATGAATATGAGTTATCCCTAAACATATTTTAACTTATTTTGAGAGCTTGGTCAACCTATCCTCTTTCCTTTCTTTTGAGACTAAAGATGCACCTAAATTTCTGCTTTTAAGTTATGGTCAAACATGAAAGTATTTTTTATTAATGCACTTTTACGTTGTAGTTGATAACTGCACGAAAAATGCTCTTTTTTGGTTTTCTTTATTTGATAAAGTTGATATATATTCGTAACGATATTATCAATAATTGTTTATCTGAAAATGGCTTTAAAAAAAGCAAACATTTTACAACATACTTAAAGCTTTTTCGTCTGACACTCCTCAGAGCATAAAACGTCAGAATAGGTTCCGAAAAAACACGATGGAAAAATATATACCCAGTTGTGGATCGAAATAGGCCAATCAGAAAAATGCGTTTTTTCGGAACCTATTCTGACGTTTTATGCTCTGAGGAGTGTCAGACGAAAAAGCTTTAAGTATGTTGTAAAATGTTTGCTTTTTTAAAGCCATTTTCAAATTCTGTACCGCAAAAAAATTGTTCAAATTGTTTATCTCTGATTAGAGGTGTCTAGTTTGATTTTCGTAACGACAAATTGATTAATCGTTTGCAATTATCATTGTCCTAAAGCTTTTGTCCTAACGGTGACAACACTTTTTAATCATTGCTTTTCAGATGAAACAACTTCAACATTTGATTCAGTGGCATACTCTACGTCTTTAGAAAATACTTCGTTACAAGAATATTGCAGATTGGTGAGCTATTCTTATAGCTTGAATTTTTGTTATAGCTTGAAGTTTTTAACTTGTTTGAAAATACACCCACTGTTGATGACAGTAATGATTTTATTTCCACATAACATATATGATTTCCATTTTCAGATTAAGCGGTACAGAAATGCGCTGTTCATGACTGACGACACGATAGAGGCTAAGCATTTCATTTCCTGCTTCTCCCATTGGCTCAAGGTATGTTGTCTACAGTATCCTCCGTATGATATCAACCGGTAAGACAGCAGTTAATGTATGTTGCTTAGAAAGTCGTTTTCTCTAGACGGGGCCTACATTAACTTTACTTTCAATGATTTAGAAGATTTTCTAAGTGCATATTATTCTTTGGGTTGTGTCATTATAACAAGTTGCATTAATTTGATTAATAATGATTTTTCTATTTTTCATGTCTGTTGTTTGTTCCCCTTGATAGAATAAAAATTATTAAATTTGGATATTTTCCATATGAAAACTTGCTTAAAAAAAAGCTCACTGTGATAGAAAATTTGTTTTCACCAAATTCACCAAACATAAAGAAAATTACATACCCATTATATTACATAGTATCATATTACATTACGATTCCTTTTGCGCAGTAAGATGTGTATATTTTTGTATAATTGACTCATGGATTATAAGAACACCTTGCGCAGTAAACCTAATCTCCGTGATATATCCCTTACCATTAGGTAGCAGCGTCTTCACAAATACTCTAGTGTCTCTAATAGAAGGGCCCCCTTGTATTGACTTCAGAAGAATTTGCCCTCCCCCTGTCGCTTATTAGCACCCCCTTCTATCTAATTTTACAAATCTGTCATGACCGGGACACGCAATTTTCACTTGTTATGTTATGTAGTTATTTTTTTATTGTCATAATTCCCCCTGTTATGTTTGTCTATCTTTATCTGTAACCATTTATCCATTATCAAGTAACCAGTGTCACCATCCTACTAATTCCACTGACTTTAAATGAAAGATTTACCAACATCCACTCCTTCTATTAGCTCCCCTTTGCTATTGAAGTTTACTGACAACCTGAACACCCCTTTCTTTTAGCAACCCCTTCTATTGAAAACTGGCCGACATGAGCACCCCTTTCTATTAGCATCCCCTTCTCTTGTAAACTGGTCGACATGAACACCCCCTTCTAATAGCACCCCCCTTCTGTTGAAATTTGGCCGCAATGAACACCACCCCTTCTATTAACTCCTTCCTTCTATTAGAGACACTAGAGTACGTTTGCAAAGTTCGCTTTCTCATCTAAATGGGAACGAAAGAAATGTTTTCCGTTTTCACGGAAGCGTCTAAGTGGAAGGGGTTTTCAAGCGTTTGTTACAGGATCATGTCATTTGAGATTTTCTCAGAATTCGATAAGAACTCTGCACGAAAGGGCATGTTCGCAAATTAAATTAATTTATAATGAGCTACATGCTTGATTATATGCGCACAATTAGCTAAGAATTCCATTTTACTATGAGCTGTATTTTTATACGTATATCTAGTATTGCATGTAACTTGCAAGGATGAAATTTATTTTTCAATCAGACCATGGACGAAATTAGAGGCAAGACAAGTTTTATTGCCAGCGTTGAAGAAAATGAGATTTGCACTGCTCAGGAACTTGTGAAACTGTTACGAGAATATGGTTGGTATCTCCGTAAATTTGTGTTTTATTATGCACCCCTTATATGTCCCATTGATAGGTTTTTACTAGAACTAGATATAGTGTCATTTCAATCCAATGCATTTCCCATCCCGGAATTTGCCATACTTTCCGGGCTACTGCGCAGAGTCCAAAAAGACCTTACCTGACTATTAATATATTGTCATATGTTGATATTGATGTTGATATTGTCATATGAAAATTCCATGTGAGAGTTGTTTATGTGCGCGAGGGTTTTTGAAAAGGAAAGGTAATAATTTATTTCTGAATGCAGATTTCTGATTTGTATCACGTAGACATGCACAGTAGTTGATTGGAAGCGTTTGATTTGGCTAAGCGTTTTTGGAGCACATTTATTTGAGGGATTGTTGTTCGCATGTATAAATTCAAACAGCAGTGAAAGAGTGTATTTTTTACGAACGAGTCGACCATTTCTTAACAAATGCTATTTCCCGATAACCTATGAAAGGACGTACTAGAAATCATAATTACTTTCATAGATTATATTTAAAAATATAGAAATTTTTTCGCAAAAATACAAACCATGTTATGTTTCTGTTATCTGCTAAATATGTACCCTAGCATAAAAGTCGTCATACAAAGTCACATACCATATGTTGACGCACATTTTAACTGTCTTCTAGTTCTCAAACATAACGGGTATGGCTGTTTAATAATTCTAGATCAATCGAAGTGCTTTGAAACATCTCAAATTGTTTTACAAGGAAAGGCATTCGAATTAATTGATATGTTAGGTTGGATAAAATTTGGCTATCTTGCCAGTGATAGGAATTGTAGCTCTCCTGGTGGACATTGGAAATCTTACTTTTTGCGTCTTTGTGAAAAATAATTATGATAAATTAACAAAAATAACTCCAATTCTGGCCTATTACATTTCAGTAAAATGTTAAAAAATGCTTGAAAATTACGCTATTGTTCCTTTTGCCACATACGGTGCTTGGAAAAAGTTTCTCCATAGCAACCCATTTCCACCTTCAAACGGTGTTGTATTGTGTGATCAATGAGCTTAGGCGAGTCCATTGCAATGCAGTTTGTTGTCCCTTTTTAGGGGCTTTGGTTGAGGTGAATCGCGAGAGACCGAAGTGCTCAACAATTATTCTGATCGACGTTGATTTCATCCTTAATCGAAAATTATCTTCGGATGTCTTTGTTTGGCTTGGAAAACGTGGAACAGAAGAACCCTTCTATCTAAGCAATGGCATTGGAGTGAACAGTCAGCTTTACTATTTGCAAAATGACGTCATCGTACTTGCATATGCAACGAAGACAAGGTAAATAACCCTTACAGTATAGAACAACAGTATGTTAGGTTTCCGCTTTTCCTTGCTATTTGGAGAGTCAAGGTGGTATTAATTGTTGGAAATATCATTTATTTTTTGTCATTAACTGTCTTGCTTAAAGTAAAGGCGATTCCTGTATGCGAGCCGCGCCCATAGGCCAAAGCATGGAGACAAAGGATGGCCAGTTCCTTCAATGCAGACTTCCTGTTCTCGTTTTCTTTAGCTTCTCCGTCGTTGTTAGTCCTTTCCTAAATAAAGGATAGAGCCCAACCTTCAGCCTTCCGAATTGCCTTACCGTGTGTCGATAGCCTAAGCTACTAAGCCACATATATTTTGAAGACGGTACAGCTGATGATATTTACAGCTGCTAACAAATCTATAAGGCTGATAGAGCGCTATCCACGAGAGCTAGAAAGAAGACATAAGTTCCATGATACAAAAATTCGCTTTATTAAATCGTACTTCTATCCAACCTTTAGCACCATGTTCCCTGTCAGAGTTTGAAATAACATATCATTTTGAGTAATCCTGCTCATGCGACTAAGAGATGTGGGATCGACAGAATTCAGATTTGTATATCGGAATTCAATTTCTTCAGATCTAGTTTGCCAAAGCAAGGATATTTCAACCCTTTCATACTATGTATGAGGTTTTTTGTCTCAGTTCAAAAATAAACACTTTGATACACTCAGATTTTATGGGGACGTTGTGTGTATCAAAACTACTTGTAAAGCAACCATCTTTATATTATTCAGTATTGATTTTTTATCAGTGTTTCTTGCCTATTTGCAGCCTTTTTCCAGCCATTTGCAGCCAAGATTTTAATACTCTATATTTACTTATTTTAAGTGCTCACTTTTTTCCAGCATGGACCGATTTGGGCAAGGAATTCATAGATTTTTCAAGTTAATTGATCTCCCACCAACTATGCCTGTTCTTCTGCAACGTTGCCTCCGACAAAAGGCAACACGAAATTCAGAAAGCCGATTAAACTTCAGGTGAATATCTCTGTAGTTTTGTTTTTACACTCACAGGAGTGTTATGGCAGCGAGATTTTTAATAGCCGGGTTATTGGCATCTCACTTCTACAAGCTACTTTTTCAAGTTTAGTTTTTAATTTTCTATGGGACTGATTTTCATTGTGTGTGAACAGGTGCTTTCATAATTTCAATCTGGCAGAGTCTTCAGATTTTCAGTTTGTGTTTTGTGCCATCTTCCGAGAGCCCTGTCCAGCTATTCACCTGGCACATGACTAATGCGAAATGTAGCACTTGATTTTTATGGCTGCTTAACATTTTCAACAATCAGATTTATACCTTTAATGTCAATCTTAAATTAGATACCTTTCTTACTTACAATCCAATCATACTCCCATATGACGTTAATTGTCAAGTCACTTACAGTTTCAGAAACATTTTAAGTTCTTCCCAGTTCACAATCTCTGAATATTGCTTGATCCATTCAAAGCTAACTAGTTGCAGGTACCAAAGCGACGATTTCCAGCTTGCTTTGAGGAATTGAGAGTATGTAAGAATGTGCCTTCTGATCAGATCACTTAGTTTATAGTCTCTTTAATTTTTGCTAGTTGATTTTCAATTGTTCTGTAATTTGGATGCAAACATGAATGGATTCGAAAAGCACTTTGTATTGTTACACACAAAGCCATCATTTTATGGACAGTCAAGCCAATCTGACTGCAATGTGTTTCATAAATTTCTGTTAGTTCATTGGTCGTTTGTGGCAAGACATGATCTAAGCACGATTAACAAACCTGCACATTACTCACTGTCATTGTTTTCTTCGCAGATCTTGGGCTGTTTCTGTCTGTTCCTTTCAGTGATTCAGCCGGCCTTAAAAGGTAATGATTTTATGTTTCATGTCACATACTTTCGTAATATTATCCGTTGATTCTATTGATGTTGATGAAATGAAGACTTAAGACAACATTTACAATCTTTCTGGAGTTGTTGGTTTCCTTTCGAAAAAGGCGGCTTGGTCGCGTGCTTTCTGTAGAAATGTGCTGGGAAATCGCTTTATCGTGACAAGATTTACATATATATTGTACTAAAAGCAAAAAGGTGTCATCATAAGTGCCTAGGCCTAAGCAAAAGTTCCTATGGTTCATAGGCTCTATGTTTCGTGCGCCTTAGATAATACTGCGCCTCTGCTTGTCCTTGTGTCTAATACGGCCTTAATGTCATATTTGGTAAGTTGCATTCCGTCTTCTTTCTCCCCTTCCTCGTTTGAAAATAGAAACCCTGCACTATTATGACATTAGGTACCCTTTTCTTTGCAGCTGGGCTGAAGACCTTTGGTTGCATTACTTTCTCCCGCAAGTCGAAAGTTCTGTGGAGGAGCAGGTTGCCGAGGCAACCAATACTCAGCAGGACTTATTGATCCAAGTCGCTTTGAACGCATTCTTAGAAGGAGCTTTTTTGCCGGGCTGCCCATGCAAATTAGATATCGGTTAGGTTAGGACTAAATTTTTAGATATTTTAATCGACTCTACTAGACCTAATGCTGTCTGACCAGGGGAATGTACTCATATTCCAGAGATTTTGTCGGTGGTCGAAACAGGGAGATTTGATGCTTTCATCAAAAGGAGGGACTTGAAAATTTTATAGAAGAAATGACCTGTCGTTCTCTGATTTCCCTGGTGCAAATCAAGTCCTGTTTCGGATGCCAACACTCTTGTTGTTCATGTGTGTAACACCTTCTGCAATTAGATATTACTTTCACAAAGTTTTTTAACGAGGCCGGAAGTTTGTCATAATGTGCAGGCCTAAGAGGGGACGTATTTGCGTCAAAATTTTCGTCGCAAAGGCACCATCTTTTACCTTGTTACCTAGCAGTCCAGCCATATGATACTCTGGGTACCAGAGCCTCAATAAACCGGGGATAAAGTATTGTAGACCGCTTCGGTGGCAAAGAAGGAAGCTCAAATAATTATTTCTGGAACTAATTTCGAACTACAGTATTCTCTCCAATTAACGGACACTCTAAAAGGCGGACACCTCTGATTAGCGGAAAAAAATATTTTTCCCGATCATTTTCTGGTTAAAGTCTCATAAAAAACTTTCTAAAAAGCGGACACTTAATTAGCGGACACTCCAATCAACGGATAATATTGTTTGCACAAAATAGTGAATTTGGCTTTTTTCCTTTCCAATTAGCAGACAGTACAAAACATTTAGGAGCCAGCGAACAAAAAAATAAGACAAATGAATATTTTTTCAAGTATTCCGACAGAGGGCTTGGAGCTTCCAACAGGGGGGCTAAAATGACTAAAATATGCAGTTTTCGTACGTTATTTTGTCAAATTTGCTCCGACAATAACCTAAAATTGCCTCCGATGGGGGGGGGGGCTAAGTGCTTCCAACGGAGGGGCTATAGCCCCTCTAGCCCTCCCCTGGCGCCACCACTGATTACACCTTTTAGATACAAAACAAGGGTCTATTTCAACTTTGAAACTTATATTGCAAAACTTTCCAAAAGGCGGACATTTCCAATTAGCGGACACCTTGCTCTGGTCCCGACAGCGTCCGCTAAATAAAGAGAATACTGTATATTTCTGAGACTAAATAATGGAGACTCTGTCGCCCAGGGTAGCCAGATGACTGTCTACTGACAAAAATCTCTTCATATCCCCCTTCAACCCTTCTTAAGATTTATTGAATTACTTATCTTCAGTTTCATTTTAAGCACTTGTTATAAACTGCCGACTGAATCAAATAAAGTTTTATCTTACTGTTCTTAAATACAAATTCACTTTTTCTAAAACGAAATGTTTAGTCAAAGTTACGTTGCAATTAGTTCTTGCAGTTAACAGCGTCAAAAGATATGTAAATGAAGGAACCCTCGTTGTAAAATAGTGCTGTACCAGAGCATGCTACGTTTCTCGTTGATAAGTATGGAAAAACCACTGCCCCAGTTTTCAACTCTTTATTATTCAAATCTATTTGACACTTAAGGTGGTGGAAAAGGACACTGTGACTCCTGACAAACTCTAAAAGAACATATTGTACTTAACACAGAACGGCAATTGTTGTACTCAACGACGTCGGAGAATTTTCATTCCACCTTCTGTCGCGCCCTTTCCCGCCCTGTTCACCATTCTATCGACCCGAATCATGTTTG